ATGAATTAAGGTAACTGCAGATGTCTCTAAGAGGGTTGTTACAGTAGTATATTAGTATAAGTCTCATAGTGACATATATTGAACAGTAGACAGAAAAAAAGAATAAAGACTACACGACACACTAGATCTCTCTCTGTTGATGATTCATAACCAGCTGGTGCCAAAATAGAACTGCAAATTATTCTATATGTCTCTCAGTAAGTTATTCAAAGAATTGTAAAATGAAAATAGAAGTCAATATCTGTCACTGAGCTTCTTAATATCAACAGAATATGTCTCTGAGCAACGTATAGGTCTCTGAGAGGGTGATTTTTAGTCCTTTTAAAATAAAACAGAGTTTTATTCAGTTGATTTAGTTAGAACATGTCACTGAACGATTCATAACTCACCAAGTTACACATATCTCTCCCGTTCAAAATACCGCTCCTTGTACGAGTAAGCATATATCTCTGAGAGGCTCACATCTCACTTAGAGACTTGTATATACAGTTTTAGAATAAAATTTGACATTTTTATTCGAATCAGTCTATGTCTCAAAGTAACATACTTAACATACTTATCTTGGTGAGATATTAGCACCTCTATTAGGTTGAGTCACTACGTCTCTACGAGCCTCATATAGCACCTAGAGACACACTGATACTGTTTTTAATTAAATAAATGATTATTTTCAATTAAAACACCACAAACACACGTCTCTATGTGACATATACCAATTATATAATGTTATATGTCTCTAGGTAACATATTAATACTACAATTAATTAAGAAACTAATCAATTAAACCTGCAACAGCATAAATCACACATTTATGAAACTTGTTTCCAAGTTTCATAAAATTTAGCAAACTTGGATGTTGATTTTTTTAACCCACAAGTTACATAAAAATGAAAAATTTTATGAAACTTGTAAAAATTTTCATAAAATTTTGATTTATGAAGACAAGATAATCCGCTGTAGGTGTTGTGTGTTGAGTGAATACATTCTGTATCCGTATTATGACAGCACTCGAGAGTACGTCAAGTTGACTTGAATTCCAATTAGATGGAGTGATCTAATTCAAAATCGAACGTGTCAGGTGAAATTCGTACTTTATGCAGGATACTCAGTAACATATATCGGCAAACATATATTGCCGTCAAACAAAGAGAAAAGAAACGACGAAAGAGAGTAGAAAGGAGTAATTTCCACGTAAAATCAGTTTTTCATGTTTCTCGAAAGGTAGACTGGGCACCTACAAGTGGATACTGTTATCGAAACCAAAATATAAGATCAATGACCGTTCTTTGAATAACTGTTGAGCGAAAGTAGATCGCAGTTTTCGCTGTTCGATCATAGGATGGGAAGCTCCACATCCCTGCGACTTCTCATTTTTGGTGAAAAACGTAGTATGAATCAGAAGTGGCCGCGAGTTATTAACTGTGTGTCTCATTAGGCAGGCAATGGCTACTAACTTAGTCACTCACTACCGTGATCAACTGTATATCTATCTGTTTTGGCCATTCAACTGAAATACATATCTTTATATCTATATATTTGACTGACTGTCGTCCGTACGGGATAACTATCTATATGAGTGACTATATATGGGATGTCACGAAGATGTCACCCGTCTACTGTGCACGGACAGACATTTCGTTTGTATGATCCTTTCTTCCAATCAAGAGAATAAAGATCTTCTAGTAAAACCTATTTTAAAAGACGTTTCTGAAAAGATTTCTGCTTATGGAAGCATCCCCCCAAGTCTTCTAGTGATGAAAATCGCAACTATCTATCACCTCCCGTTCGAGTGTTATTTAGAAAACACCAAACTGCACTGCTTTTTTTATGCACAGTAGTCCTTATGGGTTTAAAAATAAATAATCTTAGTTGGGAGATACATATCGACGAACTTACTAATGCATACCAAATACATATATGTAATAGGTATAGATGCTCTAACGAAATCTCTGCTTTATCATAATTACAGAATTTTACCTGTCTAACTTCGGCTCTACCTCTTTTAAAGAAATGAGATTCTGCATTAGGTGCACAAATTAGGTACAATTTACTTGACTTTTCAAGCATTGTATTTGTTTTAAATGCAGTTTAATATTTTTAGGATCGACCTAAAATGATGATGGATTTTTCGTTATTTCATATAACTGTTCGATTCAACTTTCCTAACATAATATTCACTGTACAACTGTCTATAACATAATCAGGGTTGTCACATGTGTCTGCCTTAATATATTTAATTTGCATTAATATATTAACATATGGCAATAATCATAATAGATAGGAAACGGAATTTCAGCACAATCCGTGATTCACTCATAATTTTTTCTTCATTAAAACATTTGTTTTCAAAATAGATTTGAATCATAGTGGAATAGAGATAGATATAATTTTTCAAAGTTTTTACCATTGCCTGTACAATTTTTTAATTTCTGATTGACTTTTGTTTATTGATCGCGTTTGAATAATAGTTTGGGAGAGGACATCATAAGCTGTTTTGTGATTTAATCATATTCTGTTGTGTGCTTAGCCTCTCTATGTGTCGTTATAGATTGAAAATTTTGGTCAAGATAGTTTACCAAATAAAACGATCGAGGAAAATGTTTTAGAGTTATGGAATGGTTTGTATACATACATAGCAATGTTGTCCACCTCATCAACTTCATTACCCAATAATCGTAGAACAAATGTATTATTTTAACAATTTACAATAATAATACCTCTCGATGATTAAGAAAATACGACAACAAGGAATTTAGTAAAAAAAATTTAATCGCCAATTATTATTTTATAATTTCCAAAATTCTGATCTCAGCTTAATTCATTTAAATGATATTTATTATTTAATCAAAGATAAATTAGATTATTCAAATCTGTAGTGGATTCAATATGATCTAATATGAATTTATGTTTCTTTTAACATCCTAAAAACCCTAATTATCCTAAATATTTTAAAAGCCGTAAATATCATGAAGATCCTACATATCCTAAATATCTCCAATATTGTAAAAATCCTGAATATCCTAAATGTCCGAAATGTCGTAAATATCGTAACTATCTGCAGATCCTGAATATTTTAAATAACCTGAATATCCCAAATATAAAAAAAATCGTAAGTATCCTAAATATCCTAAACAGCCCAAATATCGTAAATATCCTGAATCACCTAAACTTAATGCTAAATGCATTTAAAACCTTCAGCATATTTACGGTATTTCTATATTTGGGATATTTAGGATAATATATATCGTAGATATATCTACGATCTTTAGAATATTCAGGTTATTCAGGATATTTACGAGATTGAGGATATTCAGGATATTAGGGATATTCAATATATATAAGATATTTAGGATATTTAGGATATTTTGGAGAATCAGGATATTTAGGATATTTACCAAATTTAGAATACTTAATAAATACCCTAATAAATATCCTAAATTTCGTAAATATCCTCAAGATCCTGAATATCCTAAATCTCGTATATGTTCTGATTATCCTAAATATCGTAAATATCCTATACGATATTTAGGATACTTAGGATCTTAAGGGTATATACGACATATCTAAATATCTTAAACATTCTGAATATTCTGACTATTCGAAATATCATAACTGTCGTAAATAACCTGAAGATCCTAAATATCCTAAATCTCTTAAACATCCTGAAAATCGTGAATATGCTAAATATCGTAAAAATTCTGAATTTCCTAAATATACGAAACAACGTAAATATCTTAATATCCTAAACGTCGTAAACATCCTAAAAACCCTAATTATCCTAAATATTTTAAAAGCCGTAAATATCATGAACATCCTAGATATGCTAAATATCGCCAATATTGTAAAAATCCTGAATATCCTAAATGTCCAAAATGTCCCAAATATCGTAAATATCGTAAATATTCTAAATATCCTGAATATCGTAAATATCGTGAATACCCTACATATCCGAAATATGCCAAATATCGCAAACATCCTGAAGATTTTGAATGTCCTAAATATCCTAAGTATCGCAAATATAGTGAATATCCTGAATATCCTAAATATCCCAAATATCGTAAATATCCTGAACCACCTGAACTAAATGCTAAGTGCATTTAAAAATCTTCAGCATATTTACGATATTCGGGATATTTAGGATATTTAGCGTATTTAGGTTATTCAGGATATTTAGAATATATAGAATATTTACGATATTTGGGATAATAAGGGACTTAGGCTGTTTACGATACTTAGCATTTTCAAGATATTTACGATATTCAGGATCTTTAGGATGTTCATATCCAAAGTATCGTTAATATCTAAATATCCCGAAGATCTTAAATATCCTAAACATCCTAAATATCGTAAATGTTCAAAATGCCCCAAATATCCTAAATATCCTGAAGAATATCCCGAAGATCCTAAATATCGTAAATATCCTCAAGATCTTAAATATCCCAAATGTCGTAAATATCCTGATTCTCCTAAATATCTTTTTAGAATCCTAAATCTCATTTTGACATTCTCTTCGGGGCTATGGTTGTTTGACTGAGGTTCGGACTTTATGCAAGGCACTTCAGTGCAGATCGAATGATGGAATCTACAGGCATCTATGCTGCTTCTGCCCAAAAGTAGGTCTAATGGTTAGCAAGATATCTGAAAAATTAATGGATCGAGTCCGAAACTCAGTCAAACGACCATAACTAGAGGTCTGCGGGACAGTCCTAGTCCCGGTCCCGCGGGACTTTTTACGGGACCGGGGCCGGGACCTAGACGGTCCTAGTCCTGTGGGATTGTCCCAGTCCCGTGGAACTTTTAATAGGACTGGGACCAGGTTTTTTTGAAAATAGTCTTGTATGAAGTATAAAAAATTTCTTAGTTTCTGTGCCTGTTTGTATGTAGGCAGTAGTTCTGCGAGAAAGAATTCACACATAATTCGAAAAGTCCTCAGTTAATAATCTAATGCCATAGTGCTATTTTCCAGATTAGCTTGAATTAGTGTCGCACAGTTTGTTCAAAGTTCAAATTTTTGTAAACACAGCTAAAGCTATAAGTTTCTTCTAGCTTAAACAATAGAAAAGGGAAAATGTCTACTGTTGAAAGTTCATAGTTGAATACTATTCATTTTTATCTATCACAAAAAAGTCATCATCAAGTGTTGCAGTTGTTGCCATTTCGTCGTTATCATTATCTTTTTGCTTGTTATTATCATCATCCTGCCCTTTATATTTTTGTTTTTTTGTTAATGTTTCTGAGCTTGTGTCTGCAGTAGTATCACATAAATCTTTGTAATTTACAACGTGCTGACTTTCAGACTACGGGCGCTACTTTGAAAAAATATTTACGGGACCACGGGACCGGGACCAAAAATGAGTTCTTTCCACGGGACCGGGACCGGGGCCAAGACTTTTTTCTTCATTGGACCGGGACCAAAAACGTTTGGTCCCGCAGACCTCTAGTCATAACACAGTGGCCAATGGTTTTTTCAGAAACCGGATCTTTAGAAAACCCTGATAAAAACACTTTTGAATTGTACACCACACCCCCATTGAAAAGAGTACATACGAAACTCAATAAAAATAGTATTCAGAGGCTTTCGTAGTACTTTTATGGCACGTGTTCACATAAGATTTAGGAATTCGTGAATAGTATGTATCATTCACTGATGATACGTATTTATCAATATTTAGTGTTTCGTAACATTCCATTCGATCTGCATCACATAATTGACAGGAATCTCTCATAAATATTGACAATTTATATTTCCATAATGATATTAGATTATTCCAAGAATGTTGATGAGATTCCGACGATGACTGCGTATTGAGTAAATTTTCTACGGACGCTTCTAACTGTTCAAAAGTTAATGGCGGAGAAATTGCAAAAGTTTCTACTAATGGTAATTGATGAGGATTAAGCGTGTTATTGAACAATTTCATAACGATTAGAAATGAGAATAATATAACAATTGCTAGATGATATGGTAAGTGTCGTAAGTTATAAAGAATCATTACGAATAATGATGACGAGAAATTAACAATAAGCAATAAATATTATAATTAACCTTTTTTTATTTTCAACAATCATTATCCGATTACTGTTGACTGTACATAAGAAACAATAGCTATTTCAACTTAATATCTACAGTCAACAGTAATCGGATAATGATCGTTAAAAATAAAAAAAAGGTTAGTTATAATATTTATTACTTATTGTTAATTTCTCATCATCGACATAATTTAGGTAAACTTTTATTATATTTAACAGATTATCTGAAAGTTTCGACGCACCATGTTCACGTTCTTTTCGCCATAACTCTTTTCCATGTGAATTCACATCAGATTGTAGTCCACTCTAATCTCTTTTATTCGACATTGAAAAACTGAAGATTTCTTTCTATCAACATATATCGATGCCTTAGAGAAGAAGCGTTTAAAATATGCTATGATCAGTATTAAACTACGTCAGAAAAATCAAAACCTATGTCTTTTGATCCATTTTTAAATAGAATATTTGAACACAGACGTCTAATCACTAAATAAAGTGAAAAAACAACAACTTTGAATAGTGTTTAATACGTAAAAAACTTACAAAAGAAGCTTGTCCACTGACATTCATAATGTACGATACAATAATTAATTCAAAAATGAAATATGTAGCTAAAGGATTGAATAAAAAGAAGTTTATCTTTTCTTCTGTCAAAAGTGGCCCATAATCTGATGTGAAGTCCATATGGAAATGGGGTATGGCGGAAAGAACGTGAACATAGTGTTTCTAGACTTTTAGATATCCCGTTAACAGCATGTTCAGTCCCGAGACACAAACATTATGACTCACTAGATCTAAATATTTTATAGTTTTCAAGTGTCTAAGAACATCATGGCAATTGTCTTTTTAAGTCTTAGTTTGATATTTGCAATCATTAAATAGTGTTGATTAAGTTGCTGATATTTTTGAACTTATGTACGATTCGTTTCTTTGCCTTTAGGCACAATGGATCACATTCTAAAATCGAATGTCTATCCAACATATCTAAGACCATTGGAAGCAATTCTAATCCCAAGTCCATATGATACTAAAATATTGCTGAAAGCTATGGTAAAATTGCGCTCAAATATCTTTTATACGTGCGAAGGTAATACGTTTTTACATCGTGAAAATCGTAGATTAACTAAAATAAGGCGTTTACCTTATAAACAATTGCGAGATTCTTATCCGTTCGTGAACAGTCAATATGATTAATATCGAAACATCTGTACAGAAACGTGATTATATCGAAAAAAAGTATTATCCATGTTCAAATATAAATGTAAAGAAAATTTAAATAGGACATTGTGATTGTTGTTAATGGTTTTTTTGTCTTTTTTTGTTGCTTTCTTATAATAGTCAATTAGGATTAGGATTCAACGATGAAATGTCAATGACATCAAATAGTTTGATGGAACTACAGCGACAATGTGCACAGTACTAATTTCCTTGCATTATCTGTCATTAGGATATGAACAGTGAAGATTTTTATTTGTGATCAACTGTATAACAAGTCTTACGACAATCTTTTACATTAAGAACTTCGTTCCACAGTAACATAGTTCTGAAATCTCATCGGTTAACTTCGTTTTCATTTTGAAAGTCATATATTGCCGGCTGAAAGGATGAGAAAGGCTGCATAAATTTCACTTTTCATTAAAATAAAAAAACGTCTAAGCAGTAGTTATCGCTTCTGAAAAAATTCTTAGCTTTTTTGAAAACTTTTTCATTGGGAGAGTAACACGACTCCACTTATCTGCTATGTGAGATATCAAATTTCTGGCGAACTGCTAGATTCATCACATATAGTGAGAAAGTGCATCTTTTTTTGAAAAAGTAGAATTTTTGTACAGAAGTTCGACATGTCGAAATAAAACGTGTTGGCAGACGTTTATTCTCTGTAGCTCGAACAAACACAATCATTTTTTTCAACAAAAAAAAATGCATGTCATTTTTATCTATGGTGTTCGCTTTTGAATTTTTAAACGCGTTTCACGGTTAAGAATGTTCAGTTTCGGAACCGAAGCCGCGATTCCGATTCTCGAGTTAGAATCAAAACTAGAAGGACCGCGGTTCTTAATTCTCAGCTTCGAACCGGAAAAGAATTTTTCTGGCAGTAACGTTTTAACGAAATAGAATTTATTTTATCTGAAAACGAGAAGTATTTTTTATGTCATATAAAAGAAGTTGTGTAGAAGTCTACCTTATGAATACTAAGCCTAACTTCTCGAAATATAACTGTACTAACTGTGGTTTAAATAACCCCGGTTCCGAAAAAGGAACCATCTGAGAAATCGCGGTTCCAACCCCGATGAAAATAAGAAAAACGCGGTTCCAGTTCTTGATAGAAATCGAGAATCCTATTCGTAAACTCCTATGATTTAGTTTAGTTCAGTTTAAGCTTTTTATTCAAAGAAATCAAAATCTTGTCCTCCTAGATGGAGGACAATCTTGTCCTCCTGGAAATGAATCTTTTAACAGAACAAAAAAGAACATCATCATGAAATAAAAATGAACAAAAAGAAAAGAAAAACATAGAGAAGGAAGAAGAGAAAATAAAACGAGAGCAATGAAAATAGATGTAGGAAACTGCGTCAAAAGGAGAAAAGCTTCTGATATTGGAGCTTTAAAAAACAAGGGAGTGGATCAGTTAAATCTGTATAAATGAAAAAAGTACAGGACCTAGTTTATTAGAAGCGCTTAGAAACGCTTACTGGCAGTAATAAAATCACCCACAAACTGACACACAGATATCAAGAGATCGCTGGATAATTGTGTTCTAAGTAGAAGTGTATCAGTATCAAGAGTAAGACCTAGATTACCCAGCTTAATAGCCAGAATTGCGCGAGCTCGATCGGACTTTGGACATTCCGGGAGATAGTTTTTAGGATTTTCAACCACCTTTATTGACGGAGACATAGAAAACCAGCTTTCGCAGAAATTTTTACAAACAAATTTATGTTGCTTGAGATGGAAGTTAAGCGCGGAGAAATCTACTCTTAAGCGGCAAAATAGTGCATCAGCCCGACGATATAATATACATGGTAATTTGTTGGTAGGTGGAAGTACAATGTTTTTTAACTCTTTCCGAAATGTCTCAAGCTTCTGCCTAACATTTACCTGAGGATGTGTTGAGATGAGATAAGACCATTCTCTAAGAGCAGTGGGGAAAAAGGACAATCGAAAAAAAGAATTTTTACCTGCATAATCATATAATTTAGGCACCCTGTATAAGATTCGTATAAGCATTCAATACTAGACGATTGAGATTCCATTTGAGAAGTCTCATATAGTTATGAACGAAAGTTATTTTCCCAATTAGATAGTCAACATGAGAATCCCACAATAGATTTGAGGCAAGAAATAGACCTAGATGTTTATGAAGAGTAACTTCGCGAACATGTTTGTTCTAAATTAATAACGGTGAATGGTATGACTTTAAAGCTATCACACATCTATGAAATAATTGGGCCACACATTTTTCAAAATTTAGAGTAACTTGCCATGTAGAACACCGCTGCAATATTTGTTCAAGATCTCTGTTTATCGTGTCAGTTGACTTATAAAGAGAAGATAAGTAGTGAAAAAGACTGGTGTCATCAGCATATAAACTGAAATGAGATTCAAGACTCTCGCCTAGATCATCAATATAAATGGGAAATAAGAGAGGGCCCCGAATTGATCCTTGAGGGACGCCGCAGTTTATTTCCAAAAAATCAGACGAAAAACCATCAACAATTGTGCATATTTTTCTATTATTTAGATAATTTCCAATCCACTTAACAACTTGTTCACATACTCCCTTTTGTCTCAGCTTGAAAATTATTCCTCAATGCCACACACTGTCGAATGCCCTTGAGAAGTCAAGAAATATAGCTCTTACTAAACCTTGTTCCTCGAGACCTTCATGAATGTAGTGGATAAGATTTAATAGTTGATTAACACACGAGTCCCTTTTAACAAAACCAGATTGCTGAACTGAAATGAGGTTATTCGAGAAGAGCTAGTTGTATAAATAGGTGAATATCACACGTTCCATAACTTTGCCGATAATAGGAAGAAGCGTGATTCGACGATAATTTTCTATTTTATTTGTATCACCTTTCTTATAGACTGGTAAGACATTACCAATTTTCAATGAGTCAGAAAAGATAGAGTGTTTGAGAGAAGAATTAATAAGATCGCAGATGATCGGCGCAAGAATAGGTGTAGTTAGAAATTTTGGTACATAAATCAGCTCACGCTAGAATTCGAAGATGATTGGTCAGTCAACGTACTTGAATTGCTTTCGAGACTAATCAGTCTTCCACAACTCAGTGAAATCTATTTTTTGGTCGTCTCTAAACATGTTAGTTTGGAAGCGAGCGAAATCAGACGTTTTCTCGAACAACCATGCAATGTTGGCACCCTCAGCATATCATACAGCGATCATGTAACATCAAGAATTAACGATATATGTTCTGTGGTGTCTCGCCAAATACAACATCTAAGAGTGCAAACGGAGGACGTTTACTTTATGAAATCTGTCCTCGAAAGGGTCGAACATTTGTCTGGTGTTACATTTGTATATCGCTCCAGTTCATCAAGCTTCTGGAAGGAAATTATTAATCAGCTCAGCAAACGAGAAAGAAAACTTTTACTCAGCGACGATCATAGCTCTCTTCAGATATGGTTCACCAAAGACATCGATGAGCCATCAGAAATTAAAACTGACCACACGCTCGAAGAGTTTACTCATCTGCGAGTGGGAACAGTCTTTCAGTTTGCTTTTCAGCTACTTCATGACATACAACGTCGGTACTGCTTACGAGGAAACATTTCTAAGTGCTCCCTCACTTTTTCAACGAAACATAGTGGGTTGTAGGTTATCGATGATGCTGATTTCGAATATGAACTTGACAGCTGCCCTTAGGGCTCTAAACCCGGTTTTGTGAAAACTAATCAGAAAAGTTATCAACCAACCTAGTAACCAACCTTCGAATATTTTAAGAATGCTGTGTATAAGGCACCGGGGTCATCAGTACCATTAGCAAATGATTATGATTATATGAATAATAACATAATCGTTTCAATGTTCCATTCGTATTCTGTCATTTCAAACACCAATGAGTTGTGCGAAATGTGGTCAAATATTTTGTCAAGAATGCATTCAGCAATAGTTGATTACCTGAGTGTCGAAATTTTATATCTGCTACCGATATCAGAACAGGCAGAATTTCTTTGATACTGCATCAATTAGATAAATTATTACTTGCGTGTACAGCCGACAAAGAGTAGGCGTGTACCCTGAGAAAGTATTCAATTTTTGCAGTATGCACAACCGAATGGACTTTGACAAATCTCAATACTTAAGGCTTTTCAGCGAAGTGATCTTAGCTGATAGTGGTAGCTATGACGGTGACACTATGAACGATGTACCAAACGACAGAGGTGTATGTGTATGGTCGAGTGGTACGCATTATACTGGGGAATGGCAAAATGGCAAAAGGTACGGTCGAGGAGTTTACACATAAGCGGATGGGAACAGGTATGACAGCGAACGGTAACATGGCAAAATGCACGGTCGAGGAGTTCACACATGGGGCAAAGATACGAATGGTTCAGAGATCGATATGACGGCGAATGGCAAGATGACAAAATGCATAGTCGAGGAGTTTACGCATACGCGAATGAAAACAGGTATGATGTAACGTACAAGAATGGCGAACGAATTTCGGAGAAGCCTCTGTCTGCTTGATGGTTGTGATGGCTTGTGTCATGCATACTTCTCTGTGAACAGACCTAAATGAGAAACCATAAGTAAGGTCTTTCTGGAATTTCCCTCTGTCGCGTAGCCCTTTATTCGTTTCATGTCGTTATGTTTTATTTTTACTTTAAGGTTTAGTAAGAGCTATATTTCTTGACTTCTCAAGGGCATTCGACAGTATGTGACATTGAGGAATAATTTTCAAGCTGAGACAAAAGGGAGTGTGTGAACAAGTTGTTAAGTGGATTGGAAATTATATAAATAATAGAAAAATATGCACAATTGTTGATGGTTTTTCGTCTGATTTTTTGGAAATAAACTGCGGCGTCCCTCAAGGATCAATTCGGGGCCCTCTCTTATTTCCCATTTATATTGATGATCTAGGCGAGAGTCTTGAATCTCATTTCAGTTTATATGCTGATGACACCAGTCTTTTTCACTACTTATCTTCTCTTTATAAGTCAACTGACACGATAAACAGAGATCTTGAACAAATATTGCAGCGGTGTTCTACATGGCAAGTTACTCTAAATTTTGAAAAATGTGTGGCCCAATTATTTCATAGATGTGTGATAGCTTTAAAGTCATACCATTCACCGTTATTAATTTAGAACAAACATGTTCGCGAAGTTACTCTTCATAAACATCTAGGTCTATTTCTTGCCTCAAATCTATTGTGGGATTCTCATGTTGACTATGTAATTGGAAAAATAACTTTCGTTCTTAACTATATGAGACTTCTCAAATGGAATCTCAATCGTTTAGTATTGAATGCTTATACAAATCTTTTATTCAATCTCTAGCTAACCACGGCAGTGAAATATACTCATTGACTACGCCAAAGAATACTCTAAAATTAGAGAGTTGTCAGTATCAGATCTGCCTGACTATTAGTGGAGCCATGAGAGGTACTTCTAAAGATAAGTTGTTCAAGGATCAACATTGGCAGTCATTCTCTCAGCTATTTTATGTTAACAGAATGTGCATGATTTATAAGTTAATTTTAGGTTTAGTTAGATTAAGTGCTCAACATGTTAGATATGTAGAGGTAAAGAAAACAAAGTACAGCTTAAGACGAGACAGGGTGCCTGAATTATATGATTATGCAGATAAAAATTCTTTTTTCCGATTGTCCTTTTTCCCGACTGCTCTTAGAGAATGGTCTTATCTCATCTCAACACATCCTCAGGTAAATGTTAGGCAGAAGCTTGAGACATTTCGGAAAGAGTTAAAAAACATTGTACTTCCACCTACCAACAAATTACCATGTATATTATATCGTCGGGCTGATGCACTATTTTGCCGCTTAAGAGTAGATTTCTCCGCGCTTAACTTCCATCTCAAGCAACATAAATTTGTTTGTAAAAATTTCTGCGAAAGCTGGTTTTCTATGTCTCCGTCAATAAAGGTGGTTGAAAATCCTAAAAACTATCTCCCGGAATGTCCAAAGTCCGATCGAGCTCGCGTAATTCTGGCTATTAAGCTGGATAATCTAGGTCTTACTCTTGATACTGATACACTTCTACTTAGAACACAATCATCCAGCAATCTCTTGATATCTGTGTGTCAGTTTGTGGGTGATTTTATTTCTGCCAGTAAGCGTTTCTAAGCGCTTCTAATTTTTATCTGCATAATCATATAATTCAGGCACCCTGTCTCGTCTTAAGCTGTACTTTGTTTTCTTTACCTCTACATATCTAACATGTTGAGCACTTAATCTAACTAAACCAAAAATAATCTTATAAATCATGCACATTCTGTTAACATAAAATAGCTGAGAGAACGAGTGCCAATGTTGATCCTTGTACTTGCAGTGGTAAGTTAAAATGTAACACATAAAATTAATAGCAATAAAAATGATGTATGTCTATTGTTTTACAGATACAGAAAACGTTTTAGCTTTATGTTACATTCTAAATTCAGAAATCTTTTTAGACCTCTGGGGATCTTTGGGAATCTAAAGAAATCTTTTAAGATTTACATTAAATTGCGAAATCAAAGAAAAAGTCATAACCTATCTTAGACAGTGCCCTGGCGAACACCGACCGAAGGCAGGTGTGAACGTTCTTTTGGATTCAAAGCCATGAAAGGTCGTTCCAGACATAAGTTTGAAGGAAGCGCCGAAGGCGCGCAGCGAGACAAGTATTGCGTAAATTATTATGTAATGATTCTTGTTTTATCAAGCTTTTAGCTGCTTACAGTAGTTTGCAATCGATCTCTTTTAGTCTCCTTTGGCCCGCCTTAGTCTGCCTTCAGAATCTCTAATTTTCTTTTGTTTGATTGCATTTTTCTTCGGTTTTCTTGCAGTTTTCCTTTTTTCCATAGAATGGCAAAAGACACAGATGGCTACATTTTTGTCCTGACACCCGGGACGTACCACAGTGGGCATTTTTCTATAGATCAGGTGGACATGTGGTTTTTTAATTCAAAAAGTTACTATTTTTGCTCAAGAAACAATCAATACTTGGGGTAATGCATGCTTCCTAGAAATGAAACGGGTCACTGAAATATTCAAAAAATACGGGGTTTGTGCACGCGTATCAATTTTTTGCAATACAAAAAACGTGATTTTTCTTTCAAAACGCACTATTACACATGTACCATGGAAATAACTCGCAAGTAACGCCATCTTTGTACTTCGGAGCGAATTTCTTGCGCTTTGTGTAAAATGTCACGCGTTTTTTGCGTTTTACAATTCGTGAACTAAAACAGGATAAGTCCACAGAGAATGCTTGTACACTTTGTGCGAATTTCGCGCGGTTTATAAAGATTAATTACAAATTCTGCCATTTATTTAAACCAAACACGCGTTTTTCATTGTTAACAACTGATTGTGGTGGCATTCAGGCTTATAATATTTTAAAAAGAGCACCTCAATTAACGCGTCGCTTTATTCCTGTCCATCCTCATTTCAGGGATGTCCGAGTTCCATCAATTCCGAAATTTTGCAAAATCCACAAGAATTTTAGTCTTTACCACGAGAATTCTCCTTCTCACACAGGAATTCTGATAAATCACGTTACTTCCTTCCCGAGAATTTCACTTTTCCAAAGAAATTATGAGAATTCCCACCAGAAATCTCCTGCACGAGAATTTCACTTCTATCAATCGAATGGAGAATATCCCGGAGGCATTCCACACCAGAATTTTACTTTCACATCGCAATTCTGAGAACTACCACGAGAATTTTAGTCTATTACACGAAAATTTTACTTCTATCAGAGGAATTGAGAATATCCCGGAGACATTCTTCACGAGAATTTTACTTTCACACGGGAATTCTGAGAATTACCACGAGATTTTTACTCTCTTACACGAGAGTTTTACTTCTGTCACAGGAAGTTGACAATATATCGGAGATATTCTCCACGAGAATTTTACTTTGACACCGGAATTTAGAGAATTACCACCAGCATTTTGACACCTTCATCAAGCAATAGCCATTTCGTTGAATGATCTAGATGTTTTAATACTCCGGCGTTACTAAATTCATCAGCACTACAACAGAGAGAAAAAACGGATATATTCGAACCACTTCCCATATATGAAGACCAACTCACATGACAAAATTCTGTTTATTTGCTGGATCATAGAATTTCGTTGGTAACAACTTTTGAACATGTTCAACAGCACGTCTCAGTACAGAAAATAAAGTCGACTTTCCATACGCTTAAATTTTAAAATTGCATAGGTTACAGCAAATAATATATTGAAAACTGTATCTCAGAATTATAGCACAAGAATATTGCTCCTTAAAAACGTACTTGGCATTGCTACTAATATAGAATAAATTGTTGTTGCATTTGGAAATTGATTATTACGTAAAATTGATGTATAACCACACAAAACACTAGCCACACTTGGTAGAAAAATGCCAAAGCCGATTGGATCTAGCTGGAGATTACTGCACATGTGTTGAATCCAACGATGGATATAATCTGTACGATATAGTTTAGACAAATCATATTTAATTTTGAGAGCTTCATTAAAGTTCATAGTTGTTTCAGCATCCATTTTAGAGAAGACTACAATAAAAGTAAAAAGTTACATTGTGCTAATTCATATAAAAGCTTTAGATTCAACGACACTTACTGGAAGCAAATACGGCTCTTTTTAACAAGGTTCCAAATAGTTCTATCAAATTTAATTTATATATGCTATCGAAAATAAAAGAACAAAGTACCAGTAAATTTTGGTACACTCTTGAAGGTATGTATATGCCTATTCCGAAAGCATATTGAGAAAAAGATCGCACATACCATAACAACATCTTATCTTTACACTTATACGCTAAGAAACATCATATTAAACAGGTCAATAGGAAATAGCAATTATAAACTCTAGTTAAAATCTTAGATACTTCTTAAAATTATCTTACTAAGATCTTATAAGATCTCATCCTTTAAGATTTTGATAAGATAATCTACGACCTTATTAACAAGTGAATAACTTCATCAATTGATGGAACTCGGACACTGCTGCCTCATTTGCAATATCGACGCTAATGTAGCTCACTCGTTTACAATCTTTTCCTTTAGACAGACAAACCAAAGCCGGATTGGTCAAAAACACCCGATGGAGGATTATCCTGAGCACGCACACCGATTGTTTCAAGGAATGAACCACCACCATTACCACCGGGGGAATCATATAGTCCACCACCATTTAGTGTAAGGACTACCCCTGCACCTCAAGAACAAAAAACAGATAGTGTAAGTTTACAATCTTCGATGTTTATTTTCACAGTTGTTAAGTTAATAAGGCTGGTGGAATACCTACTTGAAGCGAAATTCCGGTTACCCGAAATTTAGAGTAGAAAAAATGTATTAAAAATCATAAAACACCTTTTCGCCATGGAAAAAGGGGATCAAAGACGCCCGGTGCCGAATCACCACTTCTACCAACATTAGTTCACCAACAGTCATCCAGCACCTGCTAAAGGAATACTCCAGACGATATTCCTTTAGCAGGTGCTCCCCCAAAAATGTGGCGACATTAAAGCTGGCAATTTTAAATGTGGCGACATTAAAGCAAAAATGTTGAGAGCTATGCGTGGGTCCACATTATTAGACAGTCAGTTAATCGGATTCTGGTATCGATCAGTGCACAAGGGCATGTTTTCGTCTATTTTAACAGACATTCGTTGCTTACATATGTAAATTTTTTTTTTGTTTTTTTACTGACTTAACGGCCAAGGAAAAATAGTACTTCCTTTCGTGAGTCTTAGACGGTTTTTTTCGGCAGTTTTTCCTAGCCTTAAATACATTGCAGAACAGTTGTAACCAATAATTATTCATTCACATAGTCTAAGTACATTTAGACGATTACAAGCTCGATTTTATTTTGAATGGATAATTATTAATTACAAGTGTTCTGCAATGTATTTAAGGCTAGGAAAAACTGCCGAAAAAAACCGTCTAAGGCCATAGGAACGGTATCCCTTGGCCGTTAAATCATACTTTACTATTTGTAATTATTTCCTGGTGCTTTTTTGTTTCTGTACTTCTTTTTACTACTACTACTACTCTATTTTTCTTATTCTTTATCCTTTCATTTTGGCATTAAAAGACTCAAACCACAATCCTAGTCAATTTTTTAACATAGGCGAACATCATATACTGATGGGGAGCACCCGCTACAATCAGAGATGGGCAAGTCACAGGTTTTTCAGTCTCAGACTCTAAAATTTCAGTCACAATCAGTCTTAGCCGGATTTTTCCTCGATCACATTTATTCGATAAAAATGAGTAGTAAACATGGCGAAATTCGAATACACATATTTTTTATCACAAACTGGTTTTTCTGTAGCTGTCACCCATTGTGGCGAGAACGTGGTCATCCTTCCGAAACTGGGAAATCAAACTTTCTAAAACTAGGCATACACCGAGACGAGATTCTCGAACTAAATGGTTTCGATGTTCGAAAATTATCTAACGGTAAATATCGAAGAAAGTCTATTTTGTTTCCAAGATATTGCGCGCTTGCTTATCTAGAATGTATGTTTATGGATAGTGTCCCTGAACTGCTTTTTGTTCTTAAGAGGTTTTTGCTCATAGCTTCGTATAAGCGCACGAAAATTATTAATTATAAAAAGGAACCAGTGTTCACAAGTCCGGATTATCGGGAAAAAAAACAGCGTTCCCCATTATGTTCTGAATAACTTTTCAACGAAAAGAGCTGAAACCTTGCGGTTTTCAGCGTTCGACAGAGGACAGTATTGGGAAGTAGACCTATGAAAAAGTTCCGGCTCCGGATCAGATTCATCATGTTAAGTCATTCCAAGCAAAATGTCCGATCTTGCTGCTCCTAGGTAGTAGGCCACACAATGAATTTTGAATTCTGAGATTTCAGCTAGGACCGCCATACCATCCGCGTTTAAGCTTGGTTTGGGTTTTCATTCGGAATGACTGAGGGGACCTACCTGTGACTTGAGAGTTTTCCGGCGTAGGAACTCACTTCTTCTGTGCAGTTAATCAGAAAAAAGCCATAATCGTAGAATTTTTGAAAGGTTGCACACAGCAAATTGAAGACCAGTGAGGTGGCTAAAGCATAAGAAAGAGAAAGGTATTGAAGTAAGTAAAGATTTTAGAAAACTTCTTACAAAACTTCTCAGAGTGAGGTGTAGAGCAGATTTGTAAGTGCTAGTGCTGAGATAAGCTAAAACAAGATGCTTTACGCATCTTATAGGTATATACCCGCCTTATAGGTATATGTCTATTTGTACAAGTATCCTACTGTCTCTCGTTCTTATCTGTCAGTTGATGAGATGGGTATATACCTATAAGATGGGTATATACCTATAAGACAGGTACATCCCACATGGTATCTTAACTGATAATATGGAGTAATTAATTAATTTATGACAAAAATTCCTATGAATTTTCTATGAACTTTCGTCATAAAAATT